CCCTATCTGTAAAAGATAAGTATCATATCTACTTCATAGGGTTTATTGCCAGGACTAAATGAAATTATATGTACCAATATTGACCATATAATAAAATACTCAAGAAAATGGTAGCTATTATCTCACTGCTCCTAACTTTCCCCCATCCTCTTCTAACCCATCCTCACTGCTGCCAGTCTAACAAATCCAACCCATCCGCTTGCTTGGAATCCTTCAGTGACTCCTCCCTTCACTACACACACACACACACACACACACACACACACACACACACATCTTTTTAAATATATTTTTATTGGTTTCAGAGAAGGTAGAGGGAGAGAGAGATGGAAACATCAATGATGAGAGAGAATAATTGATGTGCAGCTGCCTCCTGCACATCCCACACTGGGGATCGAGCCCACAACCCAGTCATGTGCCCTGACCGGGAATTGAACTGTGACCTCCTGGTTCATAGGTCAATGCTCAACCACTGAGCCACACTGGGTGGGCCACACACACATCTTTTTAAGACCTCTGAATTCCTTGGTAAGGTATACAAAGCCATTTATATGGTCTGTTATTGTTCACTACAATCCCACACATGCTACCCCTCAGCCACATTAAGCTATACGTCATATTCTCAAATTCTATATGCTTTTTCACACTTCCATGGTTTGGAGCACACTTTTCACTTACAGACAAGTCCTCTCCTCAGTCCACTTCATAAACACTGATTCAAGACTCAGTCAAGCATTATCCTTTGTGCTTCTGCAGCACTCAGCACTTATCTCTGCCCTTGTACAAATCATACTGTTTGATATTTACCTGCTTTGTCTCTCCCACTAGACTGTGAGTTCCCTGAGGGTAGGGATATTTTATTCATGCTTGTATCTCCAGCATCCAGCATGGGACCTAGTGTTTTTATAGGAACATCATATGTTTGTTAAATAAATGACTAGTTCTTGGCTAAGCAGAGCTCTGACTTCACCTCTCTGTTCCCTTACTACCTGTGTAGCAATCAGTATTTATACATATACACAATGTTTTACCAACTACTCCCCATTGTCCACTTCTGTCCCAGAATTGCCAACCCCCCAGCCAAAATTTCTATTGCTCAGTCAAACACAGAAGTCTTAGACTGGTCCAACTAGAAGGGGCCAGAACAGAAGACAGTGGTCTCAGTGTGGACCCTGACCAATGCCAGTGTTGAGATCAGAGTCTACCACAAGCCCCAGAACCTAACCTTTAGTATAGCAAGGGAAAATATATCTCAAGAGTATTCCTTTCAGTGTTACTAGACTGGATGACTGCTTACACCAGCCTCCTCAAACCCTGAGCCAACAAGAAGCACACACAGGCACAACAGATACTTTTTCAGTGACTGGAACAAAGCACACTTATCTGAAGCTCTCCACACTGAAAGTCAGGCTTCACATAATCTCTAGCAAGCAAAAAACAAGACATAGTTTCTTTTTCTAGACTCTTTTAATATTTTTTACAAGCCAGTAAGCTGCTACAGATGCAATTAAAAAGTAGACACATTTAAAAAAAGGAGATGAGAAATAGCAAAGACCTATTAATGTTTCCCCACCAATATCCCATTGCTAGCTCTCCATGTCCTGAGGAGTTCTCTCCATTATTGTGTGGGGGACCAGATAGCATTTAGGTACTGCTGAGATCAAAGTCTACAGATCGGGTTCTAGACTTGAGTGGGGGTTCATCACTCTTAACCTCTTCTAGGCTGTGCTGGATTCCATAGCCGAAATAGATTGCAAACCCTAGTGTGGAAAGGTAGCTGTGAGGTGAGGAAATAGTGACCTGTAAAGGCTTAATAGTTCTACTTAAGACCAAGAGGGAAAGGAATTGGGATAGGACACCCAAGAAGCATACTCTTCCCAAGTGGATACCTACCAATCACCATCCAGACCCCAAATCGGGCCCAGGTGCCAGATGTCATCTGCATCATAAGGTAAACATTCACAAAGATGCTCATTAGTGGGAGGAGAGGCAAAGCAGGTACCTGAGAACAAAGCAAAATCTTTTTTTTACATACTACAAGGTGACCTAGAAAGAGATCCCTAACCTCCTCAGGCAGGAGAGGGAAAGCCCAACTGTGTATTTCAGTACCCACTCATTTAGTGTACCTCATATGGAACTGTAAAAATTCTCAAAATTTAGGGAAATGGAACTGGGAAGGAACTAAGGAGTGTCAAAGAGGTCTTTGGTCTAGGCATCTCCCATATCATCCCTTTCTTGCCCAATTAAAGAATATCTATGAACCTTATTTGACTGCAAGGTATCTGTAGCCTATTTTCTTTCAAGATAGGTTGGTAGGGGGGAAAGAGAAAGGTCATTTACCTTAAAGTGAAGGGGAGCAGAGCTCTGTGGCTGTCTCCAGATGACCCCAGTGAACCCAGTAATGAGCATCAGGAGCAACACAACCACTGCAATCCACACTGGATCTCCAGAAAGCAGTGGAATTGACCACTGGGCCAGCACCAGGCAAAGGACACTTAGGAGCAGAGCTTCAAGAGTCAAGTTGAGAAACATCAAAACCAATTCTTTCTTGAGACCAACATGTTAAGACATTAGGCACCCCATTCCAAGGCGGGTCATCTCTCCAGTTCTTCCTCAGCCACCAAATGCCACATACTCTCTCCCCCACATCATGCTGACCTCAGAGCCACCCCAGAGAAAAATTTCATTGCTCACCAAGTAGTGAGGAACAAACATAGACAACTTGGCCAGAGAGTGGAGTGGGGCTGAGGTTGTGCGGACAAAATAGTGCCTGTAGGGTCAGCTTTTCTATTTCAGGCATCGTCTCCTCCTGCAATGCCAGTTCATCTTCCTCAATCCTCATCTCCTGGCCAGGCTGATATCTGAAGCAAGAGTAAGAAGGCAATAATAACAACAATCCTTAATTGTTTTTATGATCTTCTCTCAGGCAGCTTACCCTTTCTGGTCACCATGAAGGGCAGAAGCTCTTTTTGGCAGAGAGGGATATCCATATTCCTCAAGGATAGTCAGGATGATGAAGGCAAAGGGGGAAGGAGGAGCAGATCCCCATCATTCCCCCTCCAAGAATAAAAACCCAAATCTCAGCATGGGGATGGAGTCTCACCTGAGGATGAGAACACAAATAGACACCAGGGAGTAAGCAAGCAGGGTCCCAATTGACATGAGGTCCACAAGATCAGCAAGTTCAAAGAGGAATGCCATTAATGCTGCAAATGATGGGCAGAAAACAAAAAATCAGAAAAGGGAAGAGCAAAGTTAAGGGAGTTGGTGAACCAACTAGGGAAAGGGCAAAAACGATTTTTCACCTGCAATAATGCCAGAAACCACAGTGGCTACGATGGGGGTGCGTGTGCCACTGTGGATCCGGGCAAGGACACGGAAGAGCAATCCATCCTCCGCCATTGCGTAGATCACCCGAGGCATGGGGAACATAGAGCCCAAGAGGCTGGAGAGAAGAATGTCCAGAGTGGCATAAGTTGATTGTGATCTCTCTCCCCAAGCTTGTGAGGTTAAGGACTCTCCACATTCTCCTCACCGACCTTGTAAGGGGTATTCTGTGGTACTGAAAGCTATAACCTGAGACTCTGACAGCAGAGGACAATAAACATTTTGACACTGACCTGGTAGAAGAGCACAGAGGGATCCAATAGCCACAACATAGCGGGGAGGGGCGCATCCAACATGGAGAAATGCCTCAGGCAAGGGACTCTCAGAGTGAAGCTGATAGTAAGCATCATTAGCGTGAGTGCCGAAGAGACGGCAAAAGAGGCCAAAAAGCGATGAACAGTGAAATCACAATGCCCATGGGGATGGAACGCTGGGGATTCTGGGCCTCTTCCCCTGCAGGAAGGGGCACGATGTTCTGAATCAGGAAAGCAGACTCACTCCTCTACCTCCCCCAGTATGCATGCAGCCTGAGCACACACTGTGCCCAAGCCCCAGACAGGACAGAATGGAATGGCCATGTTACCAGTGGTAGCAATACAGTCGAAACCAACAAATGCATAGAAACAGGTAGCTGCTCCACGGAGAATCCCCTCGATGCCAAAAGGCACAAATCCTCCAGAGCCCAGAGGGCCCAACCTAAAATAGAAGAAGGGATGAAAAAGGTAAGGGTGTGTCCAGCCAACTCCACACCTTTTCTCTAATGCCAAACTACTTAGGTCTTCAAAGCCTAGGCTCCCATTCCTCCCTACTGCCAACCCAGAACCCCTCAGCATGGATGCCTCCTGCTCCTCATCATGTTCCCAGCTCTGCATCTGCTGAGAGTGAATCTCCTAACCTATGAGTATCATTGAGTTTGTCCATGGTCAGTTTGTAGTCCGTTTCTGTGAGCTTCCAGTTGTGTACATCCCCCGTAATGAAGCCAGAGATGATGACAAAACCGAGAACCAAAAGGTTCACCACTGTGAACACTTTGGTAACCAAGGCCGACTCACTAGCCCCCACAGCCAGCAATCCTGTGGAAAAGAGGCATTCAGAACTCTAAGCAAGAAAGCCCTCAGTCCCTCTATGTGCAGACTGCTCTTTCCCAGCTTCTCTTCTTTCTCACCATTACCACCTCCCCCAAGCCCTTCTCAGGCCTAGTCCCTCCCCTACCCCCATCATTATCCCAGTCCCTTGCCCTCACCAGTGAGCAACAATACAAGGCCCAAAGCAAAGAAATCTGGATATTCTGCGAGGACATGGGGAACATGCAGTGAGATGCTCCCCTGCAGAGCCTGAGAGATGTGGTTCCCAATCAGGTTGTCAAAAGCTGAGCTCCAGGCTCGGGCCACACTGGCTGTACCTGGTAGAGCAGAGGGAGAAACATGGGTTAAGAGTCCCCCCAACTGTCCTCCCTCCCCCCTAGCAGTCTCACAAGAATCCCTCCGATTTTCACCTAGACTTACTTTTTAAAAACCAAAACTAGTCAACTTAAAGAAAACCAGGATAAAGGTAAGTAGAATGAACAATTTCTCCACACCTTGAAGCCTTCCAGCCCGCCATCGGACACACACATTTAGGGGTATTGAAGTCCTGTGAATGACTTCAACATTCCATCCAGATTTCCTGACTCAAAAGCCCCTTCATTGGCTGTACAGTTTCCTCCCTGCCCCAACATCTCACCAATGACATAGGAGAGGATGAGGTTCCAGCCAGTGGTGAAGGCCCAGAGTTCACCCACAGTGACATAGCTGTAGAGATATGCTGAACCAGATCGGGGAACCCGGGCACCAAACTCTGCATAGCACAGCCCGGCCAACACAGAAGATAGAGCGGCCACCAAAAAGCAGATCACAATGGATGGTCCTGCTTTATCTTTGGCCACCTCCCCAGCCAGGACATACACGCCTGCACCCAATGTGCTGCCCACACCCAGGGCCACTAAATCCAGAGTGCTCAGGCATCTGGCAAGGCGAGTCTCAGCCATGCCTGGCTCCAGTGTACGTCTGCGTGCCAGCTTATGACCAAATCTGCGAAGTTTCTGCAATGGCATTGTAGCTGGAATTGAAGAGGTTACTAGGACCTGGTGAAAAAACAAGACAAAAGCTCTTCAGTAGGGCTCATAATCCCTAAACTCTAGGAATGAATTACAATACCCTCTGCACCAAGCACAGGTGCTACTGGGGAGGAAGGGGGGATGGGCGGGAGGCTATTGAAAAAAACAAAGGCAAGTCACTTTTCTTCTAACCTCAGTTTCTTCCCACACAGACAGGAATAACAATACCCCACAGGTTTGTGGAAGGACAAATTTCAGAAAAGGGGTATGAAAATCCCCTATAGTAAGAACGTGGCATGGCAGGGAAACTATGGGATTGATCCTAGACTTCAACCCAGGAACCATGGGGCCTAATATGTCTGCTTCCTTAGGAATTAAACAGAACTCGACTCAGGAGGGGCCAGCAAATTGGGGATGAAGCCCAATATCCACATTCTTTTTCAGTCCTCGCCCTCAGGGCCACTCAATAGGTGTGGTTCCTACATCACCCGAAGAGGTGGGGGGAAGCAACCTGGGCTGCAGATCTAAAGTGAGCAGAGCCTCAATTCCATCCCTCCTCACCAAGCCTACACCGCAGAATTGCGTGGCCGTGGATCAGGGGAGTAAGCAAATGTTAATGTTCCCCCATTTCCTCCCGCCCCGCTAGGCTGACCAGCAAGCATCAACAGTGAGGCGGGGCTTGACATCTAAAAAGACTTGGAGATGCGACCCAAGAGGAGCCCCTGAGCAACCCAAAATTGCTCGCACCAGAGAGAAGGGGCTCCGCACTAGGCCCCCCTACTCAGCTCCCAAATTATTATGCCCCCATCTAGAAACGGTCTGGCGCTGAGGTAAAAAAAAAAAAAAAAAAAAATAGCTCCCGGGGCCGGGGTCTCGCCAGCAACAGGTCACAGCTGCAATGATGCAACTGCAAACCATGGTTGCCAGAGAATCCTAGGCATGCCTGGACCCTCTCCATCCCCCTCCGACGCACGTGCTGGCCCCCAAGGCTTACCAGGGAGCGGTTAGTCTTGAGTAGGCTTCAGCGAGGCTGAGTTAAGCCGAGTTGGCTTGGGGGTGCCTATTTCTAATGCTCAGGCTTCAAAGCTGCTGCTTGGGGTCCTTGCGCGCCAAGCTCCCCTTATATATCCCAGAGGCGGAGCCGGTAACGTCATGGAATCCCCGCCCCTAGTCCTCCACCCTACACAAAACACATACACACAGACGCGCGCGCGCGCATACACACACACACACACACACACACACACACACACACACACTCCTCAGCTTTGCAAAAGGGATTGCGTGGGGCCTGAGACTGTTTCCCACTTGAAACGGCAAGACCAGTGTGACTGTGACAGGGAGGGAGAAGGTGG